AACTCATTCAGGCATATTTACATAGTTCTCTTGAGGACTCCAATTACATAATTTATTTGGAAATAACATTCAAAAATGAATTGTCATCAAAGTTAAAATGAGAGTAATTTATACACTCTTATCTAAAATCTGTTTGAGATCCTAAAAAGCCACCGAAAGAATTTGTTATTATGAAAAATAAAACTTTCTTGAAAACACTGATACTTTCTATCATGTCTGACATTTCTTGGACACATGTGCTTTTTCTTTTACTGAATGGGTTTGCTCCATATTGGAAACTAAAGAAACGGCACTGATAAGATCTCTTCTCACCTGAAGGGGGCCTTAGGCTCCCAACAACTCTGAGACCACTAAAGCTCAGTTCTTTAGCCCTACTCCTCGCCAGTGCCACCACAATTAAGTGGCAGGGCCAGAGGCCACCACAACTCTACAGGACTGCACATTTATGCTGAGTCACTGCTGAGGCCCTAGTGTGGAATCACAGCACACCTGGGTGAGGATGATTAGAAAGGATGGAACCTGCAGGAGGGTGAAGGGGAAGAGGTCCCTTGTAAACAGAGAATCAGAGTGGGATGTGAAATTGAAATCAAAGTGACATCTATCAATTGGATCTGCAAAGATGCCTGTCCTCTTGCAAACCCTCAGGCTGTCTTGACAAGGCGCCTACTGAGAATCTGGAACGCGTCCCAGCTTGTCCCTAACTTATAGCTGCCACTGCTCATTATGGTTCCCTGTTTGATGGGGCCAGAGCTTCTGCTGAGAACCTCTTGCTTGCAAACACATCAACTACATTCATTACCACCACAGCAGGCCCACGGGTGAGGTCTGTGCCAAGAAATCAACATCGATGGTCTTTTAATTTTTGTCAGTGTATTGAAAACTTATCTTCAAGGGGTGGAAGATATTTTTGGCCTAACAGATATCTAACAGGTATTTTTCAAAATACCATTTTAAAAACATCATTATTCAATACTTATTCTTTCATAGATTGAAAAGCAAAGAGACTGTACACAAATCACTACTATGTGTTTACATCAGAATTCTTCATTTTCATTCCAAAATAAAAATCATAAAGTGTTTTTAAAGGTACAAAATGCACTGGACTCCACTTAAGATTTCGGAGTCATTTAGTGCCTTTGCGTAGGAAATAGTTAAGAATAACATGAAGATGAACTAGAGGCTGAAATGGAAACAAATGGTGGGTGGGGGTCACTGGAGCAGCACGCATGGCTCCACTTCCTCAACTGTTTGAGCCCCTGGCTCACTTTCCAATTATCCAGCCACAGCTACAACTCTGTGACGCTAGGGCTCACAGGATGGTGACTGAGTAACCGCCTAGGACCAACACTTCGTGTCATCTACCTACCTCCTTAGCCACAGCTCATCCTATGCCCTGAAACCCTCTGTGACAGGGCTCTCAAAGACACTGCAGGAATAATGTCCCCAGGCCCTAAGGAGAGCTCAGGCTCCATGGGCCTCCCCAGCCTTCCTGAAAACCTGCACAACAGCTCAGGCCGTACTGAGGCCCCAGCCTTGCTGTGCCTCCATCCCAGTTTCCTGTTAACTTCTGAGAATTTGAACCGGGGAAAATTCTTGGGACAAAACTAAATTCTGATTGACATTCCTCCATCTACCCTATAAAATTCTTGAGCTGTCTGCTCCCACATGGCACCATCCTCACGAGGGCGCAGGGGGAGGCTTTGGCCGATTCCACTCCTGCACACATGGGTAGCATCAGGGTTCGACTTGCCCGTTTGTGGCTGGGGTAGTGCTGAGCAAATTAGTACAATTCTAAGGTATAATTAAGCTACCCTATTTGCCTGCCTCACCCCTACTCTAATTAAGAGCTTCTGGAATCTACAGGACTGCACTGAATTTGTTTTAATTACTTTTGTACTAAAAATTTTCTAGCAACAGCATACATGACATGCAGCTGACCTGAGCATGCACACACAATGCAGTCCCCTATTTTCTTTCTTCAGCAGGTGTTTAACAGTTTGAAAGTTCTTTTCTCTTTCTACCTTTTCCTTAACCCCAGTTGAATACTTGTTTCTGTGGCTGTTATTTTATATATTTATATCGAAGGGATAACAATTGAGCAATCACTTCCAGATCAGCAGGCAGACACTGGCCTCCATGTGGGGATTCCTTCCTGATCTGGGTGGTGTCCAGGACCTGGAACAGACCACATGCTAGTAGGCCCGAGTCTGCTCCCTGATTCACAGGCTGGTTTTGTCTCTCTGACTGCTGGCAGTGGGCCCCAACAATATTCCCCTGCCTTTGCCTCATCTTCCCTGGTTGGGAAATCCAGCCCACACTGTTCCAAAGCACTGACTGACGCTCCAGGATGCAGCTTTTTCAGTGTTCTGGGAACATACAAATTTAGCTCAGTGATCTATTTGGCAGCAAGCAACTTACGGTAAATTCTAAAGCCCTCTACCACTAACTGCAATTCAATAAGCCAGAGAGATACAAATAAGTAGCATTTGCTTTATATTATTTACATATGTTCATTGTGTGATTAAGTCCTGAGAGGTTGGAGTGCTGGCTCTGAAGATTAAAAAAGATAAAACAGCTCTCTAAGTCCCACTGCTGCTAAGTGCCAGGCTCCAAACTTGAACTCAAACGACCCTGCCTACTGCCCTCTGCTCACTCCAGGCCCTGGACACCTGATCAGAGAAGAGGCAGACTGGCCTCCAGGAAACTGAGGAGTTTCATGAAGGTGGTGGAGTTGCACATTCTTATGAAATGAGAAATTTCAAAGATGGAGATGCAAAACCAGAAACAGAATTTTCAAAGGTAGAATGGATATGAAAAATGAACTATGAGCAGCTATGTCATGTGAAAGAATTGTACAATACCAACTAATTACTAATTACCTGAGATGCTAACTACATTCAGTTATGGTGAAGAATCTCACAGAACCATCGCCCGATGACTAAGCCATATTTGCTGTAAGCAATACCTCCTGAGAAGCAGAATCAGGGTGCCATTGCCCTTCACGGTGGATGAGCACTGTGCCTTCCAAGGGCCTCATAAGGGGCTTTTGCTGCTCAGTTACCCAGTTGAGTGTGGGAAGAGACTTAAGATCATCCACAGCTTTGAGCAGAGAGCCACACATATTGACCTTGCTCTTTGCTCCAAAGAAGAGCATCTGTAATTTCCAGACTGTGATCTGGGCATTATGGACACAAACTTGCCAGCATGTGTGGCAGGCACTGTGACCCTCAGGAACTGTTGCCCACCGTGGCTGGTTTCTCTGATGACTCACCCTGGAGAGTGGAAAGCCTTGACTTCTTGCAGTAGAAGGCCAGCTCCTGTTGGCAGTGGTCCGCATGGCCAATTATGGCCTGGAGCTGTTCCATGCTAGCCGTGTACTTGAAAGACAAAGGATGGGGGCTTTCTCCACTCGAGCTCTTGATCCTGGCCCAGTGGGAGCCATTGTGCTGCACTGAGGTCCAAGCGGTGTCTTGGGGGCAGAAATGGGTTGGGGAGGGAGAAAGAAAACTGTGGCGAGGCTATAGGAACTAAAAATAAACAGGAAAATCAGAAGCATCTTTTTGCTGAGTTAAGGTTTTTATTTTTGTAGCTACCAGATCTCTCTGAGACTGGAATCAACAGAAGTGGAATTCTTAAAATATTAACATTAGGGATTCACTTTACTGAACTTGGCATTACCCTGAATGTCTTTAACACTGTCAGGGGGCCAATTCTGAGAATTCTGTGTTACAATACTCTGTCATTAATAGAACTTTTTGGCTCTTAAACAGTGTTTCTTTCCATTACTGTAAGAAGAAAGCCAAACTTGTATTATGTATTATTTACATTTTTAATAAGCATATTCCTCACCTAAGCATCTTTTTCTCTGGTACTCAAAGAAATATGTAAAAAGCACATCTGAGCAGCAAGCAGCCCACATGATCATGCAAAATAATAGGAATTAAGTATTTATGACAAAACCCGACAGGGTGCCAGCAGGAAGAACCACGCCTCACAGCATGTCTAGCAGAACCAGCCCTGGCAGTAATGAAGCCCCACCAGTGGCTGTGGGCAGGTTCAGACACACCTGTTACACCGATTACCTGTGGCTTTTTACAGAGATTTTAAAAACAATACACACTCCACAATGTTTATAACAGAAGAAAACTTTCTTGACTTCTTTGACCTTCCCCCAAATACACCTCCTACCATGAAGATAGAGAAGCTCCCACAGTATAAAGGCCCGTGGTGCAGTGGCCAGACACCTCCAAATGGCTCAACTGTGTGTATAATGTCATGTCACACAACTTTCTCTGTAGTATGTATCTGATAAGACGACTGGTCTACATATAAACTCTCCAAATTATAGGGGCAGGAGAGAGTCTTGTGTAGTTCATTTGTATTATTTCAATAGCTAATACATGAACAAGTTTCAAAAATTAAGCAGAACCAGCCCTGGCAGTAATGAAGCCCCACCAGTGGCTGTGGGCAGGTTCAGACACACCTGTTACACCGATTACCTGTGGCTTTTTACAGAGATTTTAAAAACAATACACACTCCACAATGTTTATAACAGAAGAAAACTTTCTTGACTTCTTTGACCTTCCCCCAAATACACCTCCTACCATGAAGATAGAGAAGCTCCCACAGTATAAAGGCCCGTGGTGCAGTGGCCAGACACCTCCAAATGGCTCAACTGTGTGTATAATGTCATGTCACACAACTTTCTCTGTAGTATGTATCTGATAAGACGACTGGTCTACATATAAACTCTCCAAATTATAGGGGCAGGAGAGAGTCTTGTGTAGTTCATTTGTATTATTTCAATAGCTAATACATGAACAAGTTTCAAAAATTTAAATGCTACAAAGAGGCCACTGAAGAGTCCCTGCTCACTCCTGTCCTGCCAAGGAAGTCTAGGGGAAATCAAACAGCCACACAGGTGCTCACGATCCCTAATGTACCAGATATTCCCAGAGATCCTGGGTGAGAACCCCAAGGGCCTGGGAAGAACTCTGGCTCAAAGCCAATGTTTGAAGAACATCACAGAATATGTAAAAACCTAGCAAGAACAGGAACAAGTCATGAGTCAGCATGACTAATGCAGTTCTATATTCAGTTAGGAAAAAGACTTAATAAATCATCTCTCTGCTCACTGACGGGGGCTGTGAGTGTTCCTATAGCAACAACAATTCCATAGATTTTTTTTCTTCTTTAATCACATTTTCATTAGACACTTTATATTTCAACATTTTCCTGAAAAATTACTTAAGTGGGCCTGGCATTATTTTGTGTATTTACCTACTCCCATTCACCCTCAGGGTTTCTCCATCAAATGAAGTGGGGGTGAAGAAGCCATGTAGAAGACTGGGTTAGGCTTAGGAGTTCAATTATGATGCCATTGTGTCATTATTTTCAGGGTTTATGGCACAAAGAAAAATGATGTGGCTGAATAGTTGATAAAGGGTAGTGGTGAGTAGGATAGATTTATGGTCTTGCATGGTTTAAATGTAGTAATAGAAATCTTTCTCAAGTGGAAAAAAGGGAAGGTTGAAAATAATCAAGCTGTCTTCTGTAAAAAAGAATTTAAATGACTGCTCTTTCCAGAAATATTCTTTAAAAGATCCCAGCAAAGACACATTATGTTCCCCTTATTTTTCACAAAATATTATTTTTATGGATTTCAAAACTGTTGGTGGGAAGGGATCTCTGAGATGCAACACAACCTTAACTTCCAAGCATGAGGAGACAGACCAAGGAATTCAGTGACCAGCAGGATGGAAAATACTTAGCTGTCATTCACTGCAGTTTGAAGCACAAATTAGACTTGATGAAGGTGCAACAGCAGACTAATTAAAACAGGATTTTTGAACTATTGTTGAATTAGACCCCATCCAAAAATGTTCAGCCAATTCATTGCACCTTTCATCTGCACACAAGCAGGGCAGCTGCTGATGGGCCCTGGCCTACCAATTTGCCCAGGTGAAGGAAACTGCAGCTAAGGTATCTGCATAGCTGGCTTGGTGAGTAGGGTCTGAGTCCTAACACTGACTCACCTATCGGAACATCCCCTCGTTTGTATTTATTTTGCTAAATTACATCCACTTGGCAATTTGCAACACTTCCTTCATTTTATAATACACCTCTGAACTATATACACAGGGTCTTTTATAGGAAAACAGTTGGGTGGATGGTAAAATAAGCATCTTTATTTTACACATATGGGTAAAGGTAAATTCAAACCATATCTGTAGTCATTTCTTTTTCCCTGAGAAAAAAGACAAAAGACTTCATCATGAAAAATCTAATACATTTATAGTTGGTGGGCCTGCTCCTCATGACCTAGAAAGTGATCTGGAGGAAAAAGAAGGCAAAAATTCCTTTTCTTACAGATGACTGAAATGAAGTTCAGTTTGTGTCTAAACACCATCTCTTTGGAAATGAGGCCAGCTGCCTGCATTTCTCCTGATGGGAAAGAGGGGTCTAAGTTCAGAGAAGACTGGGAAGGAAACACACCAGATGGTTTGACTCATCACATTCTACCTCCAGATGAGTAGCTGGTGGAGAAGATACACTCATGCTGATAAATAAGGACAGGCTGATGTGAATGCCAGCAGCCATTCCTGGATCCAGAAAGAGAAGCTGAGCACTGTACTTCGCCCTTCAAAGCTATGGCCCTAGATGGCCTTCTCAGAATTCCTCCCACCGTGTTCCCAACCAGAGACCAACACTGTCACCTTTTTTCCAACCCAACCCTCTTGCCACACAGATAAGGAAATGGAAGCCTGGAAAAACCCACTCTCAGCTTCATGAAACTGTACAGTTTTGCCACCCATTTCTAAGCAAGCCTGCACGAATCATTGAGCTTTCTGAACAGGTCAAGTTCTCAAAGTTCTCACGACTGCTGGTTCTCTAACATTCCCACAGTGCCTTAAGCACTGAAGCCCTCCCCTGTTGTTTCAAATGAAAACACTCCAGGAGGAAACAGAGCTGGGTCACGGATTATGTGCACACAGAGCTGGAAATGGCCATGCGCACTGCTGTGACTGTCCACTGGTGCCCTGAGGAAGACAAGGGCCCACTGTATCTGTCCCTGCCCCAGATCTCAGAGGCAGGAGCCCTGCCATGTCATACATTTGCCAGAGCCAAGGATGACTCTGTTTTTGTTTGACCCAGGGCAAGGTAACAGCCAGACTCTCGGTCCTGGGAAAGGCTCAGAGGTGCCCTAGGCAGAGCCTCACACCTGCAGGTCCCTCCAGATCATTATTCATGTTAAGGCCTTCACAGGGCTGTCCTTGTCACAGGTCTAGCCTTGAACCTTTCGTGATTGGATATTTTCAACTCAAGAAAATGCTCTCACATTTGAGACAGCCCCAAGGGAATGCAGCTACTTCCCAGCCTTCTTCCCTTGGGATTTTACAGAATTCTTTTCATTTAAGAGGCACACTGAATACACTTTTGTGCTTCTGCTCATTCATGCTGTACGCACCTGTTACTTAACACAGGGCATGTGATTACACAACTTACACTCTCTTGAGGTGACACACACATGTGCCTGGCCCAGTATCTGGCCCCTCTCAGGTGCTCAGCTGTCATGTCAGTGTTGTCTCTTGCATCGCAGCCTGCCACACAGGCAGATGGCAACATGACTTCCTAAGCAAAGAGGAAGAACACAGGTCTACCTTATAAAATTAGGTATGGACAGAGCCCAGGGCTATAGCAATGAGAGATTTATTTCACAGTTATAACCCATAAAGTGAGATGTGTGGTCCACCACGGTGGTCCCACAGGAAAGGAGAGCTCTGTGAGCTGCGGAGGCCCCAGTCAGCCAGGCCTCCTCCTACCATGCCGTGGAGATGCCATGCGGCATCTCCGACCTGTGTCAGCAAGACTGCCACCACCCCTCACTGCAACCGACACAGGAAAGGTCCAGACCCAGGAAAACAAAACTGAACGGGAGTCAGGTTCTCGTGTTGATAGAATTCTTTAGGAAAAAATGATCAATCCTTACCCTTGCAAAGTCTCACACACAGCACCAGAACATGCGAGTCTGTACATTTAAGGCCACTATACCAAATGTACAGGACACTGTGTGATGTCCTAATTAATGTAATATTTTCCCTGCCACACACTGCACATAAACCATCTTCATACAAAGAGGGACAGAGCAGTCTGATCCGAGCTCTCTGATCAACTGTTATCCCAGTCATGGCCCTCCAGAAGATGGAATAAACTCTATCTTTCTTGTTAATGCAGTGGCTGTGTGGATTTCAGTCAACATAATCTGCAATCTTGGAAAAGTCAGAAAAATTCTCTGACCCTCCAGCTCCATATCTGTTAAATGGGAGCATCCAGATGAAAGCTGTTGTTCTAGCCATCTCCAAGTGCTCAGGCAGTTAACCCAGCATGCTGCTGGCCTAGTCACTCTCTGAGCATTTATATTTTTCCTGCTTATCAAGACCATTCATCTTGTACACCTGGAAGGCTGGGACATGCTGTGTGGCTGACAGAAGAGCAGGGAGGTGACCTTTCCCCTAGCGTTTGTCTTCCCCTTTGGGCAAAGCGACAGGACTTGCTCCAGGAGTTTTGCACCCCACACACACCTACAGATGCCTCTTTTAGCAGCTACCTTTTTGAAACTGCAGGAGGCCAGTGAGAATAATGTCTCTTCCGTGGGAGCAGGACAGATTCTATGCAGGCAGAGCCAGTATAAAAGAGATGCAGAGATATGGTGTACGGCAATCACAAAGAGGGGCTCGGCTTTACATTTTTTAGATACCCCCAATATTTTGACATTGAAAATAATGTTTCTCACAGAAAATTCTATAAACAAAACCTGTCACATATAATGAATATAGAAAAACGCCAGGTTTACTGCCAATATCAGTTTTCAAGAGCAAAGCAGAGAACAATGAAATAACAGCTCTTTCCAAGCAAAGAAAATATATCTTGCAGCAGCCGCGCATTTACTCATGAAAGAAACTCTGCCACCCACACTTAGAGCCCCTTTTGACACATTTCCAACTGGCATTGTTATCTATCTAAAATACAAACGGGAAACTTGTAATATTCATAGCATTTCTAGTTAGCTGAATTCCAGCTGTCTGCCTTCCTCCTCTGAAGGTCAGTGAGGGCAGCACCTCCCCTTGTGACCCTGAAGCAGAGCATGGGGCCTCAAGTCCACAGGGTAACTCAGGGTAGATGAGGGACTGAATGCATGAATCCAGTGGATTCCTGAAAAGGGAGCAGCTTGATGCCAAGACATTGCAGCAGGAAGACAGAGGTGAAAGAAACAAAACCTATCCAAATAGCAAACAAAAAGTATAACATTGTGGGTCCATGCTACAGGGACTGTTTTTAAAAATGTGTCTTGTATGAAGGGCAACTGGGCTGACTGGCCTTTGTTAAAGCATGACGCTGGGGGCTGACACCATTTCTGACACAGGAAAAAGGCGATTAAAGAAACACAGTAACAAGTGCTAGATTACTGACCTCCTGGGTCAGCTAGTCAGAACCTGAAGGTGGGGTGGGCAGGGGGCAGCAGACCCGGCTTGTGTGTCGAGCCCCAGTTGATTCTTAGGACCCTGAAGTGGAGTCACTGCCCTGCAACCCACCTCCTCCATGTGATACCCGTTTTCATGCTGCAGTGTCTGAGAGCCAGTGTTTTTGAAGCACGTGACTATGAAAACAGGAAACAACACCTAGGCTGTACATGGTGGGCAGAAACTGCCCTCTCTCTCAGTGGGTACAGCCAATGGAGTTCCCAGTTCTCATCCTGTCATCAAAGAAATTACGTTGTTTTTTCTGTTTAGAAAAGAGAATTGGCCTGTTAACAAATATCACAAATAGAACATTCAAAATAGTGTTCCTGTTTCTTTTGCTTTGGCTGTTTTTATAGCAAAGGTATTAAAACACATGCAGAATATGTCCTAGAACTACATTTTTTTGAACACTATTACCAAAGATATAATTTCAGCCACTGGTATAGAATTTGATTTTCTGTTTTTTCCAACCGTTAGCACTTGTTTATAATGATTAGAAGTTGTATTATATTATAGCATGTTAATATAATATAACTAGAGAGTATCTAATTGCCCACAGTCACGGTAGCACCACAGTGAAGGCAAGACTTTCCACAGTGGATGTGTTTCCAGGCCGTGAGAACATGGGCAACAGCTTAGCTCTCTCTCTCTCAGTGAGATTGGTCAGGGACACCCCTGGGGACCCTGGTCAGGATGAACCAGTTAGCTGTAACTTTGGCTTATTCCTTGGCTTTTCTCCAGGAACAATCTGGAGTTTTCAAACTTCTGCTTAAATACTTTGTTGCACAGCTTTTAGAAACTTTTGTCATTTTTGGGTTGGCCTTTGTCTTCAGGGCGCTGCTTTCCTGATGGCTTTGAGTTTAATAAAAATCCTCAGTATTTAATATTAGTATTATCTGGAATTCATTCCTGTTCTCCATCCTGGTTTTTGTGTATGTGTCCCATGATCCATCTCATGTGCCATCTCAGTCCTAATTTATGGAGCCTTAGAACATTTATCTTGTTACACAGAACAAGAATATACTGATTTCAGGAGTCTGAGATTTGGACAACTAGAAACTTCTCTAAACTTAATTACCACGAAAGGCCTTGTGATACAATGAGTATCTGGCCTTTTGTGGTAATTAACTGTTTGCTCATCTGCAATGTAATATGAAGACACACATAGTTTTTAAGTATTCTTTCATAAGAAAAATTCATAAAGCACTACCAATCATTAAATCATCACTCAGATGTTTCATGAATCCTTACACACACACACACACACACATATCTTAAAACTCTTAAGGCTTTCCAAGATTAATCAGAGAGTTTAGAAGGTATTTAATTTACAAGATCAACGTCTGTATTTTATTTTAATACACATGAACAACTCCTGCATGTGTGGGTACCTCAGAGCCAGGAGGATTCAGTGGCAGATCAAGTTCACTTGGGATGATTAAAATGTTTTTATTACAACGATAAGCTGCAGACAATCCGGCAATTAGCTCTCATTCCTCTTGGCTACAAATGTCTTTCTTTATCACTGGGACCTCGGCCTTACCAAACCTGCCGACAGGTAATTATCCACAAAACAGCCTCAGTCCTGAAATCTTACTCATCTTGGGATGTGTCAGTTAGGATCATTTCACTTTTCCATGGATCCTGGAGTTTTTCAGTGTATATGGAACCCTGGTCATAGGCTTAACCCAAGATAAAAGTAAATAAAAATCGTTTTTTCCATGCCCTAGGCTTCTCTGTGATAAGTAAGCATGTGATTGATAAAAGGGGAGTATTGTTGGGATGCCAGCATCCTTCCTTAGCTTTCTCTGTTCTCGGCATTCACTCAAGCCATGGTAATGAAAGTGAAACAAAGCAGAAATCGAATAACTGGGGGGCCTGTTATAACGATGGGAGCCCAGAATGTCTAGAAAGATCGCCTTGGCTATTTATTTCCTCTCACACATGATTGACCACACATCTTTCAATCAAGGTAAGTCCATGTATTCATCTCTGCCATTGCTCTGCGATATTTTGGTCAGTATTTATGATAAAATGTTGCCTCAAAGACCCGAACGGCCATTCTCACATAGCCATTCTCACATCCAATGCAATACCCTGAAAGCTCCTACTTTTCTGTACCAACTCCAGGGCTAGTTTTCAGGTCGTGAGACATATTCGACTTAATACAGATCAAACCACATGATTAACTACTGCCAAAATGCTCAGAGTTTTGTTTTACATAGGAAGCAGTGGTATGAAAGCTGCACCATGATTTTTAGCTACTCACAAACCATTATTATAAATTTACCCATAAATAATTCCTTCCTTGAGGGAACTGCAACCTCATCAGGGAGATGTAGCCACAATAACAGAGAAACCAAATTACAACTATAGTTACCTTAGAACCATCTGCAGTTGATTTTTCCTGAACATTGTCTCAGATTTTGCAGAGTCCAATCCTAGGGTTGCTGAAGTACCTATTAATTCATATGACAGAGTAGCCCAGGAAGTTTCACCAGGACAAGGAGTGCTATTCCCTTTCTGCTGGTGAGGTGTGGGCATGGAGGAGACAGTGTGGTGCCAGTACACATAGTACAGGCAGAGGGGAGGGATAAAAACATGTATCAATTCTATCAGGGCAGCTGCCATTCACTCCAGAGGCTGTGAAGGCCCTTTTGAACTTCTGTACTCATAGGAGCAGATGTTAACAATTTCAAAGAATGAAAGGATTTGTTGATGACACATATATATTTATCTATCAAATATAATTGGTTTCTAGGTGTGCAGGAATATATTACTACATGAAGTGTGCACAACTTTGAAACATTTGTCGTCTCCTAGATAAATTCATGTGATTAAATATTCAAAAGAATACAAATGAATGACTTCATAAATTTGAAAAGTGTATATTCTCCTAAGTCTTTGGCATTTATTGACATGAACTAAGAAATAAAGTTTACCCTTTGTTTTAGATTACTAAGCAAAGACTTATTATTAATTGTAAACCAAGAGCATTCCCACACAACAGTGATGTAACTTTTAATTACCAGCTGTTGTAAAATATTATGTTTACTAGTTCTGAGCAATATTACAATTACAATCACAATGCGTATCTAATAAAGCTACTATCAGGTAAAACCTACTTTCCCCATTTTGGTTTAGCACACAGCCATTTACATGAGTTTAACTGTCAAAATAAAGCTTATTAGCATACCTGTCATATTGCAATACACGAGAGCTGGACCCAGGGGGCCACTTCCATCTGAGTCAATATAGTAGAGGCCTGAAGAGCTTCCTCTGTGCTTGTGGGCTTCACAGGACTGCTCGTAGAGAGCTGCAAAGGACATGGGTCTCAGGGGGGAACTGCAATGGGACGAGGCTCCCCATGTTGTTAATCACACGCCATTTTCCCCAGGGACACTCATTCTGCATAGCTCTCAGGGACATTTTCTCTACGCGAGAAATTCCCATTTCAATCAGGCAGCATGAAGATTCTGCAGCACAGAGCGGAAGAGTTTAAGAGGTATCACTGTGGGACACATAGATACAAATCCTGCAAGTTCTAGAAACAAGATTCTTTTCAAAATGTGGTAACAGGACTCTAGTTCTGCCTCATTATGTCTAAGCATCTGAAGTGCGCTGGCTTAACCTTCCTGAATCATGTTATGATCTAATAATCACACTGATTCTTAAAGATTACTAATTATACCCTTTGTTTGCTTAAGACCATTTACATGTGACATATACTTTTTTCAAGATGAATTTTACAACTCAGCAATTCTTCATTCAATATTTGAAGCTTATTTTTAAAAACTTCCTTAAATGCTTTGCAAACTCAAGAAAATTGAAATTTCAAGAAAAAGGAATAAACGTATATATGAAATGTGTCCTTGTAATTTCAATTTGTCCCAATTCTTAATTGAGTATTTTCATGTATAATGAATGTTTTGCATGTACAAGACACAGATGATGGATCTAATTAATTCACAGTAAGTTTAAATGAGCAATCAACCAAACATCATCTTCTGTGCTGGCTTGACAGGAAAAGCAGTTAGTGACTGTGGGGAAGGAACACAGTACTGATGTCGGCAGTGTTGTGTGACATCATCAAGCCAGCCCAAATGGTGAGGTCTGCCATCCACAAAAACCTGACTCAGGGAGTGGCCAGGCCAGATCCACACAGTGGAGTGAGCCAAGAACTGAGGCCATTTAAATTGTCTGGGTTATCTACTTTTTTCAGCTTTGCCTATTTTAAATAGTTAAAAAAACAAAACAAAACCGGGGAGGTGAAGTAGAGGCATTGTTTTCTCTCTTCTGACAGAGTAAGACTAAAGCGATGCTTGTCTATCTGGGGATCTTAAAAAAAGCCAACATTCTTTTATTAAATATGGCCAAGTGTCAAATGTGTTAAGTTGCCCCCTGATCAAGAGCACTACTATTGCCATCTCCTCTGATGGATACACAGACAATACGGGTTTGCCTTCCCACCGCGCCTGCACTTTGGCCACTCGCGTTGACTTTTCTGTAACACAGAAACATGCTCACAGCTGCCCAGAGAAGTGTGCAGAGGGATATGGACGGGTTGGTCACAGTGATGTTTGGGTGGGACTGGAGCTGCCGAGGGAACAAGGGCAGAGGAGGACTGATTAGACCAAGTCACTAACAATTCACCAACCAGTCCTTAACCAGTGAGGGCAGCTGGTATCTGCTCTGTTAAGAGACCCCGCTAGGTGTGCTGGAGGGCGGTGAAAGACACCGTCCATCTAACTGTGACCACGGTCAGGTCACCGAGTCTCAGGGTTCCCACTGCTGCTCCTTTCAAATGAAGAACTGCCTGGCAGGTTCTTCCCTGGCTCTGCAACAGTAAACAGAGATGCAGGTGCAACTGCTCCAGTTCAACTCATGGGGTACTTTGGGGGTGGGTCACCTCCCCTTGTCTGCCAAAAGGCTTCCAGCCCTTGGGAAGCCCACTATCTGGGAACCCAGGGGTCTCATCTCAACACCAATGCCTGTCCTTGGGATTCAGTTCCCACAAGGTTGGATACATTACAGGCCACGCTCTGCCTTTCTCCCACACTTTATGTGACAAAGAATGAAATAATTCACAGGGAAGAAATCTTTAGTGTACAATGTATTCACCCAGGAGGAGGGACTGAATGTGGTGGATTGAGGAATTTTCCTGATATATTCTTTCTCTAAAGACCCATAGACAGGGGAGGTGTTAAGAGAGAAGAGATTCAGAAATGTCAGTAGTGATACACAAACAAGGAAAAATGCAAACCAAAGCTAGCAATTAGAAAGAAATGAGGATTCCAGGGGCTCTGTCATCAGTTTCTAGTAACTGATGAATAAGTGGTCCATGAAGTTTTGTGAGCTTTAAAATGGAGAGAGCAATTCTTGTAAGAAGGGACTGTAGTTCAACGTAGAAGAAACAGGATGGAAAGCCCAGGTTAGAAACACCATGACTTTGGGCAAAAGACTCAGTCTCTCTTTTCTTAAATGTAAAATATAGATAATAATAACACTTACCTTCCAGGGCTCCTTCAGGGACTAGAGGAGAGGAGACATGCAGGCACTGGAATCCCTGGCACATGGCAGTTCAGTGGCCTAACCACCTCCCTCACCACCAAAGAACATCCAGGCTGCAAGGTCGGACCGCTTACCTGGCCTCCCGTGGGCTCCTAGAAACCCCACCATGTTGGCTGCCATCCCACACTTCTGAGACTCTCCCCTTGCAATTCCATAAATAACGAGAATCTGTAACTCAGCCTCTTGACTTTGGCAGACAGAATTTGAGAACTAAGATTCGGCCCCGCTCAAGTACCGTTAACAACATAGAACACCATGCATTCTAGATTGTTTTTATTTTTTACTTTTTGCTATATTTTATTTTCCTATTCTTGGCTTCCTTTCCTTTGCCTGTCATTTTTTTTTCTGTCCTGTTTGGTACTGTCTATTTCTGTAAGCTGCCTTAATAGCATTACTGTATAAAAGATTAAAATTAACATTAAAATTTTAATTAAAACTAAAAATTAGTCTCTAAAATACTTTTTTTTGTTGTTGCTTTTCAGCATGTGGTCACACAGACACAAACAACATATACATAAAATAATGAAAAGGAAAAAAGAGCCATAACAGGAAGGAGAAACAGGGGAGGCATAAGGCTCACAGGAATGGCAGGTGGGGCCCGAATAGCCAGTGTGTGTGCAGTCGCAGGAAAAGGTGTCCCAGGACTGGGAACATTCACCCCTGTGTTCACAATAGCTTGGCAGACACCTAAAAGAAGACAGACACAACCACAGTCGGTCATGAAAAAATGTGTATCTTCATACTAATGTCCCAGTGAAGGATGGGTGATAACAGTGACAGAAAAACATCAACATGAACAAAAATTGCTGGGTCTGTCACCAAGCTTTCCTAATATAACACCAACCACAGACTGTCTTTCAAGAGATGCAATGCATTGTCATGTGTCTGTGACATACATTTTCTACACATCTCAGTATATGGGAAAACTTGTTTGCTTTTTCACAAATAAGGCAAGAGTAATTTCACAAATGACCAGGGTTATAAACTGCTTACAATGGTCAGGGAGCCACACATGTTCCATTCCCTGCCTCCATGTCCTTGCAGTGTGGCCTACAGATCCTTCTATCTTGAGCCAAAGCTAACTTCTCCACCTGGAACTGGGGCTGGTCAAGGGGACATCAGCAAATTGATACAGCAGAGGCTAGAAAAGTGATTCTGAATCCTGAAGCCACCACCATATGCAGAAACCTGAGCTTATTCATGTAGCCTAGCCACCCCCGTCACTTCAGCAAATAGCTGGCAAGTGGGTGAGGCAACTGTAAATCATCCAGCTGCCAGTTGACCTCCCCAGGAGACCACAGATGCCTGAGAGCTCAACAGCAACCACAGAACTCTAGGGATAAATAAAGAGTTGTTTTCAGCAAGCAGGTTTGGGGGATGATGTACAGCATAGGCAAAGCTAAGTGATAGATGTACACAACATGCACTATATGGCTGTTTACTTAGTATATAAAAGCATCACAGGGACCAGTGCTTAGCACCATCAACTTTAGGTCAGATTATGGGAAGCCCACTATCTGGGAACCCAGGGGTCTCATCTCAACACCAATGCCTGTCCTTGGGATTCAGTTCCCACAAGGTTGGATACATTACAGGCCACGCTCTGCCTTTCTCCCACACTTTATGTGACAAAAAATGAAATAATTCACAGGGAAGAAATCTTTAGTGTACAATGTATTCACCCAGGAGGAGGGACTGAATGTGGTGGATTGAGGAATTTTCCTGATATATTCTTTCTCTAAAGACCCATAGACAGGGGAGGTGTTAAGAGAGAAGAGATTCAGAAATGTCAGTAGTGATACACAAACAAGGAAAAATGCAAACCAAAGCTAGCAATTAGAAAGAAATGAGGATTCCAGGGGCTCTGTCATCAGTTTCTAGTAACTGATGAATAAGTGGTCCATGAAGTTTTGTGAGCTTTAAAATGGAGAGAGCAATTCTTGTAAGAAGGGACTGTAGTTCAACGTAGAAGAAACAGGATGGAAAGCCCAGGTTAGAAACACCATGACTTTGGGCAAAAGACTCAGTCTCTCTTTTCTTAAATGTAAAATATAGATAATAATAACACTTACCTTCCAGGGCTCCTTCAGGGACTAGAGGAGAGGAGACATGCAGGCACTGGAATCCCTGGCACATGGCAGTTCAGTGGCCTAACCACCTCCCTCACCACCAAAGAACATCCAGGCTGCAAGGTCGGACCGCTTACCTGGCCTCCCGTGGGCTCCTAGAAACCCCACCATGTTGGCTGCCATCCCACACTTCTGAGACTCTCCCCTTGCAATTCCATAAATAACGAGAATCTGTAACTCAGCCTCTTGACTTTGGCAGACAGAATTTGAGAACTAAGATTCGGTCCCGCTCAAGTACTGTTAACAACATAGAACACCATGCATTCTAGATTGTTTTTATTTTTTACTTTTTGCTATATTTTATTTTCCTATTCTTGGCTTCCTTTCCTTTGCCTGTCATTTTTTTTTCTGTCCTGTTTGGTACTGTCTATTTCTGTAAGCTGCCTTAATAGCATTACTGTATAAAAGATTAAAATTAACATTAAAATTTTAATTAAAACTAAAAATTAGTCTCTAAAATACTTTTTTTTTTTTGTTGCTTTTCAGCATGTGGTCACACAGACACAAACAACATATACATAAAATAATGAAAAGGAAAAAAGAGCCATAACAGGAAGGAGAAACAGGGGAGGCATAAGGCTCACAGGAATGGCAGGTGGGGCCCGAATAGCCAGTGTGTGTGCAGTCGCAGGAAAAGGTGTCCCAGGACTGGGAACATTCACCCCTGTGTTCACAATAGCTTGGCAGACACCTAAAAGAAGACAGACACAACCACAGTCGGTCATGACAAAATGTGTATCTTCATACTAATGTCCCAGTGAAGGATGGGTGATAACAGAAAAACATCAACATGAACAAAAATTGCTGGGTCTGTCACCAAGCTTTCCTAATATAACACCAACCACAGACTGTCTTTCAAGAGATGCTATGCATTGTCATGTGTCTGTGACATACATTTTCTACATATCTCAGTATATGGGAAAACTTGTTTGCTTTTTCACAAATAAGGCAAGAGTAATTTCACAAATGACCAGGGTTATAAACTGCTTACAATGGTCAGGGAGCCACACATGTTCCATTCCCTGCCTCCATGTCCTTGCAGTGTGGCCTACAGATCCTTCTATCTTGAGCCACAGCTAACTTCTCCACCTGGAACTGGGGCTGGTCAAGGGGACATCAGCAAATTGATACAGCAGAGGCTAGAAAAGTGATTCTGAATCCTGAAGCCACCACCATATGCAGAAACCTGAGCTTATTCATGTAGCCTAGCCACCCCCGTCACTTCAGCAAATAGCTGGCAAGTGGGTGAGGCAACTGTAAATCATCCAGCTGCCAGTTGACCTCCCCAGGAGACCACAGATGCCTGAGAGCTCAACAGCAACCACAGAACTCTAGGGATAAATAAAGAGTTGTTTTCAGCAAGCAGGTTTGGGGGATGATGTACAGCATAGGCAAAGCTAAGTGATAGATGTACACAACATGCACTATATGGCTGTTTACTTAGTATATAAAAGCATCACAGGGACCAGTGCTTAGCACCATCAACTTTAGGTCAGATTGAAGATGCTTTTAGGAATTAGACTGAGATATTCCTTAGGACTGAGGCCTTAAATGTTTTTTTTTCAACATATAATTGAACAAACTACAAAATATGTGGTAAACCAAATAATCATGTATGTATCACGGAGACTGTGACATTCTCAATATAACAATGTGAGATTTTAATGTTTGTTTATAAGATTAACAAAATTAATTGAAAGGGTCATGGAACTTTCTTGATTATAAAAGATAAATGCTATCTTCTACAAAATATTAGCAAATAAAGTCCAACAATACATAAAAAGAATTATATAGGGTG